GCTCTTGCCTTCCTCAGTCAGCACCCTCGGCCTGCTGTTTCTCCGTGAGCACCCTGTTCCCACGCTGTCCCAGCATTCACTTCTTTCAGACCCTCGAGGAGCTTCCAGTGGAGGTGGAGGGCCTTGCGCATGGCCATATCCACCCACAGCAGAAATTAGACTGTCAGGCCAGTTGTCGTCATTTTGCAACTCCATTTCTAAGTAATTCTGGAATATGGGTTTTGATTCCTTGTTACTGATCATCACAAATAAAACTGTTTAATAGCAGGTACAAGATGTCTTCACCGTAATTCATTAGTCCAACTCCACATTATCATCCACTTGCCCAAGGCGTGAGGTAGGAGATGCTGGCTTATCAGAGCTGTTCAGAGATGTGCTTTATTACCTGGTTCCCTTTCAGTCCTGGCCTCCTCTTTACAGATGTCCTGACACTGAAAACAAAAAACAGAAACCCATCTTCCCAGTGCTAGCAGTGTGATCCGGGCTGCCTCATGCCGACCTTGACCGTGGGCAACACCAGGTCATTTAAAGTCTGAAATGTCACCAGTCCTTACAGTGCAAGCAGATATTTCAGTTTTAAGAATGACTTTAGCAAAGTATCAAATCATGAACATTCTTTCTGTCTTTCTTTAATTTCTTTTTCAAGATGTAGCATCTGTCTTTTCTGTCGTTGTACAAGTTACCAAATCTATTGCTGCTTTGGAATTAGATTAAGAGAATTATTTTTCTCTTTTTAAATTCAGGTATAGTTGATTTACAGTGTTGTAGGGTTTTTAATTCATTTTTATTGGAGTATAGTTGATTTACAGTGTTATGTTAGTTTCTATTGTATAGCAAAGCAAGTCAGTTATAAATATACATCTATCCACCCTTTTTTTAGATTCTATTCCCTTATTACAATGTTGTATTAATTATTGCAGTACACACAGCAAAGTGATTCGGTTATACACACACACATTATATATATGTTATTTCCATCATGGTTTATCCATCATAGAATGTTGACTGGTGTGCCCTGTTCTATCCAGCAGGACTTTGTTGTTTGTTCGGCAGGTAGCAGCTTAGCATGTGCTAGCCCTAACCTCCGGATCCATCCCTCCCCTAACCCCAGCCCCTTGGCAACCACCAGTCAGTTCTCTATGTCCCTGATTCTGTTTCTGTTTCATAAATAAGTTAATCTGTGTCAAATTTTAGATCCCACGTATAAGTAAAATTATTATAATATATAATTATTATATATTATATATAGACAAAATTTATTATATTTGTCTTTCTCTTTCTGACTTCACTTAATACAATAATTTCTAGTTGCATCCATGTTGCTTCAAGTGACCTTATTGGCATTATCCCAGATCTTTATCCATTCATCATCAATGGACATTTAGGGTGCTTCCATGTCTTGGCTATTATGAATGTGCTGCTGTGAACGTACAGGTGCTTGTATCTTTTGGAATGACAGTTTTGTCCAGATATATACCCAGGAGTGGGATTGCTAGATCATGTTACCTCTATTTTTAGTTTTTAAGGAACCTCCATACTGTTCTCCACAGTGGCTGCAGCAACTGACGTTCCCACCAAGAGTGCAGGAGGGTCCCTTTCTCCACACCATCTCCAGTGTTTATTTTTTTGCAGACTTTTTTTGACAGCTGTTCTGACGCTGTGAGGCGGTTCCTCACTGCAGTTCCGGGTTGCGTGTCTTAGATTGAGAGACGTCTTCAGTTCAGCTGCTGAACTCAGTCACAGAGACTAAATATAAAATATTATGAGATATGACAAGCCTAGTTTTTAGAAAAAAGTTGCATCGTTTAGCAGATATTTAAGATGCTCATAACATTTCATTTCCCAGTACACGTAAATATGCCTGTGTCAGGCACTAGAATGTTTAGCAAGCTAATGTAGTCTGTAATTGAATTCATCTGGTCACAGGATTTAATGAAGACATATTCAGCGTCAGTTCATGCCCTTAGGTAACAAATAGGACTCTATTATATAGTAATTTATGCAGAAAAGCAATTTTATAAATAGTAAAACACCAAATAAATGCCACCCTTTGTTCTAAAATCTATGTTTAAAAAGTATAGTCTTAAAGGGAAAATGTCTGATCTGTTGAATAAAGTAATTAAAACTTTTCATTTACGTGGGAGGGAAAAGCAAAATAGGAGACAGGAAAATTGCAGCGTGTCTGTGTTAGCTGGACTAGTGCTGTAGTTAACAAGCCCCGGATGCCCGCAACTTCACGCACGCTTGCGGCTCTCTGCTCCCACAAGGCTGACACTCACCCTGTCTGTGTCTCGCGGGCGCTGGCTGGCCGAGCCCGCTGCCGCAGGGACCACTGAGAGGAAGGCCCTCTTGCCAGCTCATTCGTACTTCAGCTCAGGAGTGAGGGGCCACTTCTCCTCACGGCCTGTTGTCCAGAACCTGTGGGGGCGGGGGTGGCTCTTAACTCCAGGGGCTGCCACAGGCCCAGGGTGCTGGGAGCTATGTGTGGTGCCACCTGTCTTCACCCCATAAGCCTGCGTCCAGGCAGCCCCGGAGACCCTCTGGGAGGTCGGACACCGCAGAAAGGCCCTCAACTGAATGTTTTCTCTCTGGACCCGTCTCTTCCGTTTAAAATAAGTTCATATACACACAGGCTTTTATAATTGCTGTAGAAGACGCTGACCTTGTAGTGTGAACTCCTGTTTCACTAGGGGTGGGGTTCGCTGCTAGCTCTGAGATGGTGACCCAGGGTGTTTCTGTCACCAGGTAACTTTCTTCACAGGAGCAGTTCCTATTAGGGCAGGTTGACGATTCCAACATAGAATCATTTTAAATTAACATTTTAAAGTGAGAATTTGTTTCTCAGCCATTTCTGTAATTTACTGCTGGAAGTACTTTATTTGGATTGCGTCAGATCTTTTAATATGTAATGTTGGAGCCCTGGGATGTCTATTTTAATTCCCTGGTAAGACACTCTGTAAAAGATTTTTAAAATACAATTCGTTTTGGTATAGAGAAATCATCATCTTTAGGAAATTTTTTCAGTAGTAATGGGTTAATACTTTTAAGCTAAATGCACGTGATGAGATTTTCCCATCGCAGGATCCCTGCCCTGTATATTCCGGTGATGACACGTGCCGTCGTCTGATGCCAGTGACGACTGCGTGAGGTTGCCGAGAGCCCCCTGCACCGCCTTTTTCCTGCTTTATAGTCAGAATGACTCATCCTCTAACTTAGTCACCAGAAGTCAAACCATTCCGCTTGAAAAGTGGGCAAAAGGCTTGACAGATACTTCACAAAGGAAGTGCCCCCGTAAGCACATTGAAAGATTCTCAGCATTACTTGTTATCAGGAATATGCAAATTAAAACCATGACAAGACGCACTTTACCTCTACTAGGATGGCCGATGTGAAAAGGTACCCAGAGTGGATGCTGGTGAGGGTGTGGGCTGCAGGTGGGCGTGTAAGATGGGGTACCGGCAGTCTCTTTGGAAGTTAAACATAAAAACGTCACAGCCCAGAGTCCCACTCCTAGTTGTTATTTAAGAAAAACAACACGTGTTCACCACAAAGTCTTCTACAGGAACGATGACAGCAGCTTTGCTCCTAGTTGCACAATGTGGAAGTGGCCGAAGTGTCTGCCAGTAGGAGACACTAACGGTGGCTGTTCCATATGGTGGAATATTACTCAGCAGTGAGGAGGAGTGAAGGGTTGACTGTCCCGTCCTGACATCACACTGAGTGCAGGAAGCCAGGCCCGGGGGAGTGCTGGCCTTGATCCTGTTCCCCTGGACGTCTAGACCAGACTGACTGGATCCATGGCAACAGGAGTCAAAACAGTGGCTGCCTCGGCAGAGGGTGTGACCAGAAGAGGCTTGAGGGAACTTTCTGGGTGATGAAAACGTTCTGTGACGGGATAAGACACGGGTTACTCGGGTATATTCATTTGTCAGCAGTGATGAGGCTGAACTTGTAAGATCTGTGTACTCAGCAGGTGTGGAGCCCGAGGTCAGAAGCAGCCGACGGGGAGGAGCTGGGCTGGCCTGGGTTCAGACCCCAATGCACCCTTGCCTCCTGGCTTAGCCACCTTCTCTCTGGGATCTTGGGCAGATCTCTTCATGTCTACGTCCTCTTCATCTCTTCATGTTCAATGGCCTCATGTGTGAGCTGGGGCAACTGTAACCGGGTATGGCTGTGATGAGGTTCAGTGATGTTAGCTGTTGCTCTTTCTCCCAGATAAACTCTTAATGAAATATAATTTCTCTTTAAATGCTCCTCCCACTTCCTTTCCTCTTAAAATTAGTTTAATAAGCAAGGAGAAATGTAAAAAGAAAAATGAAGATTCCGGGAGGCTTCATTAGTCAATTGTAATTGGAAGATGCTGAAGCTGAAACTCCTAGTATTTTGGCCACCTGATGCAAAGAACTGACTCATTTGAAAAGACCCTGGTGCTGGGAAAGATTGAAAGTGGGAGGAAAAGGGGACGACAGAGGATGAGATGGTTGGATGGCATCCCCAACTCGATGGACATGAGTTTGAGTAAGCTCCGGGAATTGGTGATGGACAGAAAAGCCTGGCGTACTGCAGTCCATGGGGTCACAGAGTCGGACACGACCGAGCGACTGAACTGGGCTGAATTCTGATTGGGATCAAGATTACCCAAAGGATGAATTCTCTCACCCGAGACCCAGAATTTGCTGCTAACAGTTGTGTATGTGATGAAGCTAATTGTGAGGCCCATGCTGAGGTATTAACCCGTGCTTGGTGGCTCAGGGCGTGTGCTGATGGCATTTGACTCCTCTGTCCCTGGCGTGGCAGGGCTGCAGGGTGGCGCCGGGCGGGTGGCCGGCACCCAGAGGCCTTGGTGACCCTCGTGCGCGATAATATTCTCCAGCCACAGAGTTCAGCTGCACACACAGTGTCATTTCTTCCTTTGAAGAACAAAATCAAAGTTCAGAGCTTACGTGAGCTGTGAGTCATCACACGAAAGTGACCGGCACATATGCCTTCTCTGCTCACAGGAGCTGTGAAACTGACGAGCCTGGCCTGTGGAAACCAGCATGTCTGGGCCTGCGACTCCAGGGGTGGTGTTTACTTCCGCGTTGGCACCCAGCCGCTGAACCCCAGTCTGATGCTTCCGGCCTGGATAGCGATTGAGCCGCCTGTCCAGGTAAGCCGAGGTTCCCTGATCCCAGCTCCCCAGTTGGCTGGTCAGGTGCTGAGCTGGGGAGAGGACCGCGCCTGCCAGCAAGGGCCTCCCAGCAGACAGGGCAGAGGTGTGTGTGTGTGCCCAGGGTCGGCACACACTCATCCCCTGGTGTTCCAACTCAGAGTCTGGTATTTGTGGAGTTTAGAGATGAACAGGTTATGATCGTCTGAGCCAGGGCTACTTTTGCTTTCTCAAAATAAAAATGTTTTGTTTGTAACTTGTTACAAAATGAGCATTATTTTTTTTTAAAGCAAATAATATCCAAAAGGAAGAGAGTAAAAGTCCCATAAAGATCTTGTGATGAGAGAGCCTATTATCATTATTTTGTGAGTGCCTTTTCTATTTTGTTGAAAAAATTGTTTTTCCTTTGTTAAAAATATTTTATCCATTTGCTGCATCAGGTCTTAAGTTGTGTGTGATGCGAGGTCTCGCAGACTCCCTGGTTGTCCCGCGAGGTCTCTCACTGTGGCGCACGGACTCTAGTTGTGGTGAACGTGCTTAGTTGCTCTGAGGCACGTGGGATCTTAGTTCCCCAACCAGGGATTGAACCCACGTCCCATGCTTTGCAAGGGGGATTCTTAGCCACTGGACCCCCAGGGGAGTCCCTAGAAATTATTTTTCTTATGCATCCCATCCCATCCCCAACCCCTGCCGTATTTCAGTTTACCATGTATCCTAAGTGGTTTTCTTTTGACTGTTCTACCACTCAGATCAAAAGCTGAAGTCTGATTTTAGTGCACTCTAGTTACCCTTAAATAGCTAGTGGCCCTGGTGACTATGCTAAGTGTACTTCTATTAAAACTTTTACACAGAGGGTGTGACTTAATGAGTTATTTACTCCCATGCTTCCTAGTCCTCATTTTGTGACTTTGTTGGGGGACAAAAAAAAATGAAGTCTTCATGTGCAGAGGTGACAGGAGTGGTTCATCGAGCAAAAATGCGTAAATGGAGATAAGGAGTCAGGTGTCGGGATGGATGCCTGTGTTGGTGACTGTCTACATTTGGGGTATCATAAACCCCCAGGGATGGGGCAACAGAGGTCAAGGTGCAAGGCTGAGGACCACCTGTCCCGCCCAGGAGACATGGGACGTGTGCTGGAAGCCCCTGCAATCAGAGTCAGCGGCCAAGTTCTTTCAGGCCACTGGTCAGTGGTCAGGGCCACAGGGAGGCCCCACGTGGATCTTCCTCTCACAGGGTCATGACGAGAGTGAGTGGAATCGTGTCTGAGTTCGAAGGTGCTGTGTGCACGCCAGCCCCGCGCTCCTCTGCACACAGTGCTGGCTGACAGCTGCCGTCCACGCAGCTCAGAGGAAGGGGTGTGGCCCGCCGGCCGTGTGGTGCTCTGCTGATGGGTGGCGAGGGTTTCATTGCTGTTCTCAGACTCTCCTTAGACGAGCCGGCGCCCTCTTGCTGTCCGACTCCTTTGGTAGCCACTGCCTCCTCCCAGCAGCTTTATGTTACAGGGTCATAATTCAGCCTTTACGGTATACAGCTCAGTGCTTTTCAGTATATGTGCAAAGCTCTGCAACCATCACTGCTCTCCAGTCTAGAACTTTCTCACCTGAAAGGAAACCCCTGACCCACTGGTAACCACTCACTCCCCTTTCCTCTCAGAGCCCTCACCCCACGGCCCTGGCGTCCGCCCATCTTCTTTCTGTTTCTATGCACGTGCCTGTTCTGGCTTTTCCTGTTTCGTATAAATGGGATCATGTAATGGGTGGCGTTTTTATCTGCCACCCTTCACTCAGTGTCATCTTTTCAGTGTTCATCACACTGTAGCATGTGTCAGGACTTCATTCCTTTCATGACTGAGGAGTGTTCTCTTGGGATAGTACTCCATTCCATTCCACCAGGGCTTCCCTGGTGGCTCAGCTGGTAAAGAATCTGCCTGCCATGCGGGAGACCTGGGTTCCGTCCCTGGGTTGGGAAGATCCCCTGGAGAAGGGAAAGGCTGCCCACTCCAGTGTTCCTGCCTGGAGGCTTCCGTGGACGGTGTCGTCCGCGTGGGACACAGCTGAGCGACGCTCACCCTCCGTGTTCCATCGTGTGGGTATGCCGTGTTTGGTTACCCTGTTGGGCTGCTGGGGACAGTGCTGCCGTGAACATTCTTGTACAAAATTATATGGACTTGTGTTTTCAGTTCTCTTGGGTCTATAACTTTAAGTGGAATTGTGGGGTCATATGGTTGACTGTATGTTTAGCTTTTTAAGGAGCTGCCAGACTGTTTTCCACACTGACTGCACCATTTTACATTCTACCAGCAATGTATGAGGGTTCTGATTTCTCTATATCCTTACTGAAGAGTTTTTTTTGCCCAGTTTAAAAAGCCTGTCTTAGAGGGTGTAAAATGATATTTCATGGTGATTTTCTTTAAAAACTTCATTGAAACAGGAAAAGCTAATTTTCATATTATGGGGGTTACTGAATGTTCTGGTTTGTATTAGAACAGTCCTATACAGAAAGGAAAGCTGATCTGATCCATATTGGCACTTTTTGTTATAATTCAACTGAGGTTTTTTAAAATTTAGATATAATTATGTGTAGCATTGTATTAGTTTCACAGGTACAAGGTAATGAGTTGATGTTTATATATATATTGCAAAGAAATTGCCACAATGAGCCTAGTAACACCTGTCGCAATGCACAGTTCCCTCCTGTGATGAGAGCTTCGGACCTGCCCTCTCAGCACCTTATAGGCCTGCAGTGCAGTGTTGCTGACTGCGGTCACCGTGCTATCCATTGCATCCCCAAGTCCTCACGGTCTTGATTTGCATTTCCCGAAGGGCCAGTGAGCATCTTTCTTGTGTGCTTATTGGTCATTTATGTATCTTATTTGGGGAACTAACATATTCAGATACTTTGCTCAATTTTTAATTGGGTTATTTGTCTTTTTATTACTGAGTTGTAAGGCTTTTTCATATATTCTGGATGTGTGTGTCTCACGTGTGCATACCCACTCGCTCAGTCATGTCCCAGACCCTTAGGAGAATTATGATTTACAAGGGTTTTCTCCCACTCTGGGTTGTCGCTTCACTTTCTTTACAGAAAAGTTCTTCACTTTCTTTACAGCACAGAATTTTTATTTTGATGAAGGCCATCTTTTCTCCGTTTTCCTTCAGTTGCTCATACTTTTGGTGTCATCGAGGATGACGTGAGACCAGGAGCCCCTCTCCTTTCAGCATCTAGATTCTGGAATAGCCTCTAGGAAGCAGAGCTAAAACCAGGCGACATAAGCTTTACTTGGGGTACTCTATTGACTGTAGGTTCCCTGATGGCTCAGTTGGTAAAGGATCCGCCTGCAGTACAGGACACCCCGGTTCGATCCCTGGGTCAGGATGATCCGCTGGAGAGGGAATAGGCTTCCCACTCCAGTATTCTTGGGCTTTCCCTTTAGCTCAGTTGGTAAAGAATCTGCCTGCAATGTGGGAGACCTGGGTTCAATCCCTGGGTTGGGAAAATCTCCTGGAGAAAGGAAAGGCTACCCACCCCAGTATTCTGACCCAGAGAATTCCATGAACTCTATAGTCCATGGGGTTGCAAAGAGTCAGACACAACTGAGCAACTTTCACTTTAACTATAACTAACTATTGACTGTGGGTGGATCAAATCTTCACCCAAGAAAATGCCAAAATAGAACAAATTCACATGAAAGGGCCTCAGAGCTGTGCTCTGAATAAAGTGATGATTGCTCAGTGGGCTGTTCAGCCTTAACCATTTCAGGCATTTCTGTTGAATGGACCACATTCTCTTATTCAGTAGCTCTCAGCATGCTCCAGGAGAAGTGCACGTGGAGCTTGTAGCTATAGAACTGTTCCTGTAGGGGAGAAACCAGGCTTTACGCTTGCACGGGCCTTTTGCTACGCTCTTCCATGCTCTGCTGAGGACCAAGGCCTGGGCTGCCTACTGACTGCAGGAGCCGCCGTGGAGACCCGAGTCCAGGCAGCGCGCCACAGGCTCGGCCGGCGGCCCCCCAGGTGGGGCTTTAGGACAAAGCCTAATTTCAAATTGAATTTCAGATTAATCTTCAAGTTGCAGAAGTTCCTGAGAAGACTGGTCCAGTGGCAGGGTGGGGATGGTACGAGGCCTTGTGAAATGGTTTAGAAAGTCGGGATGGTTTGATTGAATGCAGGTATTAGAATGTAAATGGTGTTTCCATGTTTTGATCATAATTGACCTCTTTCCATTTTATTTACTCTTGGGCATGAGCGTCCTGGTCTCCAGGTAGGACGTGTATAGCTAAAGTCTGCGGAGGACATCACAGACCTTAAAGGGCACAGAGCGGTGACGCCACAGGGATCTTCTGAAATCAGCAGCAGCTTCTCTATTTCTGTGTCCTGTTCTCTTCTCTGGTAACACCTCCCTCCTGTAGTAGTTTTGGGGTGAAGTTTTAACAAAGTACTCAAAACAAATGACTCAGTTTTCAGACTTGCTAACATTTGGAAGGATTTGGAAAAAATATTTATAGTTGTGTTTAGCATCTTTTCTTTGGAGCTTGCTGCTTTGGTGGGAGCGTTTTCTGTCCACACTAGCGGTGCCTCTAAAGTAGCACAGCTGATGGTGTGACTTCACAGCACCGTGGGCACCATGAGCCCCCCGCCTGCACTGGCCCCACCGCTGCCTTCCAAGGGTCTTCCCTGCCCTCCTGTGCTCCCCCCACCACCTCTGGGCAGTCCCTGCTCCTCCCTAACATGCACGGTGTCCAGGCCTCCCAAGGTGGGTGGCTCCAGCCGGTCTCCGGGGTCGTTTACTCAGCCTGGATTACAGCTTTGCCTGGAAAAGAGAGATCAGCAAGATCAAGACTCATGCGACTGGCAAATGGCCAAACTTAATTTAAATTCAACTACTCTAGGTATGTTTAGCTACATGAACAACAACTAAAAAATACAAACATGCAAGCATGGTAACAGGTAATCCCATGAGAAGGTCATGCTCACAGGTGGCGCCTGTGGGGACATAAGTTG